ATTACACAATGAGCGGAACACCTGCTCTGACAACACAAACAGCGATAATCCGACCTTCCAGCTCGGGCATACATGAGGTGAGCGGAGCTCCGGACGTTTCCTACGAGCGGCACATCATCCTGCTCGAGGTCGTCCCTTCGCCAAACTCGGAATACCAAGCTTGACACTATGTAATGGTAACACATATATAGTAATGAGTGAGTGAGTGAGTGAGTGAGTGAGTTGGGTTTAACGCCGCTTTTAACAGTATTCCAGTTTTATCGCGGCGTGTCAGCTTAATGTGGGAGGAAAGCCCGAAGTGATGCAGGTCTCAGACGTTTACCACTTCGGTGAAACCAACGAGCACGGGTATGGTGCTGACATACCTAGAAACATAATCAGGGCGAACCGGGTTTCGAACCCACAATCATAGGTTTCAGGCGTGCCCAAGGGACGCAACTCTGCACAGGGAAGCGCGGCGCCTTAGACCCGTGCCCCCATATAGTAATGAACAACAGTGGACAGAATGACGTTGCTCTGGACTTGGGACTTCTGGGGGTGATGAACCGACACTGCTCAGGGGATGAACAATTAAGGCAATAAATGTTATACTATACTGTATTACTAACAGTAATTAACGGGAAGTGATATATACTACTCAAAAGAAGTTAAGGATCACCTGATTCTTTCATATTACAATAGTTAATCTCTCATGCCCTGACAGATTAACATTACCAATATGAAAGAATTGGGTGATCCTTAACTTCTTTTGAGTAGTATAGTTGCCCAGGTTGGCTGACAGTCATTCAATGATACGGTTATAAATCACTTCTCTACCGGTATATTATCTCTGCCGGAATTTTTCCCAATAAGCGTTTCACGCTTTTATCATACCATCTCCAAACCATGGAAGTTTTAAACAATACCCTTTTCTCTGCAATGTTTCACTTTCTTTAGGTTGGTTGGTTTGTTGTTTTACGCCGCACTCAGCATTATTCCGCTATATGAATGCAGTATGTAAATAATGGAGTCTGGACCCGACAATCCAATGATTCACATCATGAGCATCAATCCACGCAATTGGGATCGATGACATGCATCAACCAAGTCAGCGAGCCTGACCACCCGGTCCCGTCAGTCGCCTCTTACGACAAGCATAGTCGCTTTTATGGCAAGCATGGGTTGCTGAAGACCTATTCTATCCCGGGTCTTCACGGGTCATTTCATTTGGTATGCAGCGAGAACTATCAAAATAAAAACAATGATGCAAAGTATTTCTACTACTTAGACCACCGTAGATGTTTTTCAGAAAAGGATCGTTATGCCCAAACCACTGCAAATCTCGCCCATATGTCATTTCAGAATGTGTTTGACCATGAATGTCATCACTATTTGTGTATACGAGGATTTCTAGAGTGATCAAATTCATTTACACTGTCCAATTCCCTATATCACACAAGAGTGAACGTTCGGTGTTGGCTGCGGAAATGTTAACTCGATACCGACTGTACTTTTAGAACAATTTCAGTCAAACTGAAATGTTTGTTAACAATGGATTTTGGTACAATACACAGGTAAAAACACTCATTGTCCACAGGCACCGAGCACTTCTCTTAGGAACATGACCTATTATCAGATGTCCTCAATCATTCTCTCAAGCCCAGTGAAATGTACGCCGTTGTTTTCAGTCGAGCTATAGGAGATTTCGTAGTACTTCCACTCCACAAACCTTTAACATGATCATCTTTTAATGGCGGGTGCCACCTTAGCTTGGCGACATGAAATTCGGCTGAAAGAATAACTTGGTATGCCATTCGTCACCACTCGCCCCTTTCCGTAACCTGCAAGAAGACTCGTCCCCCCCTATCCGTGAATGTTATGTGCGAAAATACGACAAACCAATCAAAATGAGCGTGTGACTTCAAGTACTTCCGTCAAAAAATCTCAGGAATAATGTTTGATTTTACATATGTCTTGCATTTAAACATATACTGTAACACGTCCCATTTTAATTCTGGAAACCCAAAAGTCCAGAAACTCTACAGTCTTTGCCCAGTCTCGGTCAAAGGTATTTACAAAAATAAGCATGCTGTTTTCATGGGAACATACTAAGGAAGAAAAAATGAAAAAAAAAGAAAAAGGTTCAAAAACTCAATATTTACACAATCTCGCCCATGGGCGAGAATATTTTCCTTTACTCAAAAATCATGTTTTTGTTTCTCAAATACTTAAATTTTGTGTATGATACTTGATACACAAAATTTAACTCCTTTAACCTAACCTAACCTAACGATTTTATAGCGATATTGAAATAGTTCGCCCATGGGCGAGAAAAAGGTTTGGCCCACGGGCGAGAATATTTTCCTTTACACAAAACTCATGTTTTTGTTTCTCAAATACACAGATGTATTCCTTCAAGTATCATGACACAAAACTCATTTAACTCCTTTAACCTAACTCAACGATTTTATAGCGATATTTCGCCCATGAACGACAAAAAGGATTGGCCCATGGGCCAGAATATTTTCCTTTGCTCAGCAGTTTTAGTTTCGCAAACACAAAGGTGTGTCTACAAGCATGACACATGATTCAACTGATTTTCAACAAATAATTCAACGGTGGTATGAAAATATGACACTTTTCAACTCAGTTTCACTTAAATTCAACAATATCGCCTTGGACGAGAATATTTTCCTCAACATTTTGCTCAAAACACAAGGTTTTGTTTCTACAAGTACCATGACACATAGTTTGCTAAAAACTTTGAACACATCTTTTGTTTTGCAAAAACAAGTGTGTCTGTGCAAGTACACTAGCTCAGCTGATCTAAAACTTGGTAGCCTAGGGACCACACACACATTTTGACTACACATCTCCTTCGAAAAATAGTCTACACAACATGATGACAAAGCAAACTGATAATGGAGTACTATTTATTTACATGGCAATGTATGCCTATATATGCACATTGTATAAACACTCAATCAAAATCCCACACTGATACACACGAATATCGTCAAATACAGTCAATGCTTATATTAATTTAGTTTACAATGTATATACATGTATGGCATCATATCCCCGCTATGGAGCTAGGTCCGGCTGTTGTCTCTTGCTTTGACATATCTTTGGTGTATTCTCTTTTCCAAGTCATCTTCATCGCGCACGAACACCTTGTCTGTAACAATATATAAATAAGGTATTATTCAACTCGTTTTAACTTAATTCAAATATTTTATAGAGTTATCGAAATATGTTACACATCCAGGGAAAAGTCTGGCCCATTGACAGGCCCATTGTAATTATTCAAGTTTAAAACATTTTATTTATTTATGAGTGAGTATGGTTTTACGCCGCTTTTAGCAATATTCCAGCAATATCACGGCGGGGGACACCTGAAATGGGCTTCACATAATGTACCCACGTCGGGAATCGAACCAGGGTCTTCGGCGTCACAAGCGAACGCTTTAACCACTAGGCTACCCGACCGCCCCTTTTATTTATGAAACAACTGACACAGAATATATTGTTGATAATTACTTCAATTCATGTATGAAGCACATAAAGGTAAAGTCATGAAAGTTGAACTATATTAATGCTTTTACATAATAATAAGGTTTTCCAATATATACATGTCAATGTCGTTTTAAGTTTGTACATGACACTGAAATTTTTACAAACATTATTTAAACAGCAATATGCATATAAGAACATCTTGCAAAATGTCGAAATTGAAGAACGACTGTATGCGGTAAACAAGGCTTCCAATGACACATCAATATCAGTCTATTTAGATTTTTTAATATGACCTGGAACAATTTACAAAATGTATCACTAATCAACTTTATGCAAAATATAGCATCTTGCGCAATGTTGAAAATCAAGATTAACTTAAATGCATATCTTAGTAAAGTTTTTAATGACACTTTCATAAATATCAGTCTATTTAGATAATATTTTTTAGTGAGTGAGTGAGTATGGTTTTACGCCGCTTTTAGCAATATTCCAGCAATATTCCAGCAATATCACGGCGGGGGACACCAGAAATGGGCTTCACACATTGTACCCATGTCGGGAATCGAACCCGGGTCTTCGGCATGACGAGCGAACGCTTTAACCACTAGGCTACCCGACCGCCCCTGATAATATTTTTTAATATGACCTGGAACAATTAAAACAATGTATCACTAAACTATATGAACAATAGAGAATCTTGGGAAATGTCGACAAAGCAAGATTAACTTAAATGCATGTGTCAGTAAAAAGGTTTTTAATTACAACACCTTCATACGTCAATGAATATACACAATTATGTGACTATTTATACAATTTATCAAATATTTACCATATGCAGAATACAGCATCAAATTTAAGATTAACTGTATGCATGTTACTAAACCATGTTTTGAATTACACACGTACACATATATATGTATTCATACAATACTTTTACCAATTTACCATTAGAGCAAAATATAGCTTTTTTATTCAATTTGTGTTTGAATGTTTTTTGGGAGTATACTAATAGGTATTATTTTGGAAGTGATGTCTCATGATCGAACAGTTACATTAAAACAGCTATGCCTCAATAGAAAATACATAGAAAATACATAGAAAATGCTTTGCGGGCAACAATCCATATCAAATCGAAGCTTCGGTGTGCTTTGGGTTTTACAGCTACTGTGTCCTCTTCCTTTGGACAGATACCTGAAACATTGAAAAATTAATCATCACAACAGGGATAAATCAAGATCCATGTGTACACGTATATCAGCAGCATCAGATGAAAATTTTATCGCGAGATGTTACGGAAAATCCTTCGAAAGCAATATGTCTAACGTTGTTAAGGATCAGAAATTGGAACATAGGTTGTATTACTTCACTATCAGGAAACAACACACGCAGAACAATGACAAAATTGATTTGTTCAGTACAGTTTCAACGGATGAACGAGGGCTTTGTCTATTTATTACAAGCTTTTGATCGAGTTAAGATATATCATCATAAGTGCATTTATAAAGCAAATAACATTGTATTCACGAACCTTGGACTTTCTGGTTATTTTTCTTTGACTTTTCTGAAGTGCTGCCATCAAATTTTCAGGTAGTCGTCCATCTTCTGTTGGTGCAGTATTGTAGTTGTCAAAGTCGTTGAATTCGACTTCAGGGTATATTGTTGTAGACAGGACTGTAAGTAGCTTTCCCAGTCATCTATCTCAGAAGGCTGAAGGCGGGCTGAATCTCTCCGTTTGGGAAGATCCCTGAACATGGCTGTTCTGATGTCATTGACCGTGCTACACATTGGCCTTACAACAGCGAGTTGTGGGTTCATGCCAGTCAAGTTCATCGGAGTTTCCCGGTAAACTTCACTGGGTAGAGGCCAGTCTTTGTAGGCCAAAGTTAGCTGGCTGCCTTTCATGTAAATTTTGAATACATGGGGAATGGAATGTCCTTTCAATCCATCGCATCCTGAAAAAGTTGCTCTGAAGTCCGACAGATCGAACCCCCGACAAGCACAAGCACAGCACTGTTGGGCCTGGAAGACACCACCGAAGGAGGGGAGTTGGACACCAACAGCTTTCAAGCTGTTGTAGAGGTAACTAGATCAAAGAAAAACATAGGTGCTCACAGACTAGGTTCGGCCCATAATCACATATCGACTCCACACTGACACTGTGCAACTAAAGTCCTCAAAGTGACCAGTGGACATCCACCCCCACAATACAATAACACTAAGTCTGATTAATTAACCGCGACCAAGTACATAACCACAAATATATATTTCAGTCATTTCGGAGGCTCCACCCAGCCAACTCCCAATGTGACTCCACAGTAGGACTTGACTCCAAAAATAAAGAATGGCGAGGAAAATGCATGGCAGCTTTGCGTTTGGATTTGGAGAAGGTGTGTAGATATAGCAGAATGGACAATGCACTATATTCATCTATGAATAGTCCGTCACTTGCGCCAATGAATTGGCTCCTTATTTAAGATATTAATTGGAGCATACATATCTAACATAGATTTATGTAACAGTTCCATAATCGGATGAAAAAAGTATTGTCTTTTGCTCTATTTTAGACGGCCTTTTGGGGATCCTACAAAGAACACTTAGCAGTTTCTGTTATGTCCAGGACGTGTTTTGATGCTGCATTAAGCATCATGAAGCAATACAGCCTCAACAAAGTGCCAAATCAGACATCCAGGATAGTCAACAGGGCGCTGTTTAAGGAAGGCCCTGGTACACGAGGAAGCACTGTTCCAGGCGCTACTAGATTTTCGAGACGGCAGGACCGGAAAAGAGAAATTTAATCAGACTCTACAAATAATGAAAACGGGGACAGGTATGATGCAGTTGTATTAGCTGAGGAAAGAGAATACATTCTGCCACTTGCACACCATCTTTGATCATGACAATGACGTTTCTGCTCCGTTGGGCTGTCCACCCCAGGTACAGACCGAACAACTACATTAATGGACGGTGTATATTTTGCGATCAAGATTAACGTAATGACGTCTGTGAATGCTGTTTCATTTACATTTGTCACATAACACGTTGTGCACTTTATTACAGAAAACAGATGAACAGACGAGGAATAAAGACAACGAAAAGCTGAGACGAGAATTGAAAAGACAGCAAGCTATTGTTGAGACAACAGAAGAATATTGCAAGCCTAGAAGCCGAGATCAAGATTCTGAAGGTAGGTAGCGAAATTATATTCTTTAACGAGATAAAAAAATAAATCCGACAACAATATATCCCTAACATGTTCTTGATACTTGTATTTGTATTTTTCTGAAAGAAAATGAGATGTTGATATATCTGTTATGTATTAATGATTTATGTTAATGTAATTTTAGGCAGGTGCGTCTCGTGGAAATAGTCAGGTGGAAGTGGAAACAAGTGACGTGAGCAATAAGTACAACTACAGAAAACTCCTAGTCCGTCTCCTTACTAATGACACAGGAGTAAAATATATAATGTAATTGTAAATGTCAAATAAATTCCATACCATGCCGATCCGTTAAGATCCGAGGTAGAATAGGCCTTCGGCAACCCATGCTTGCTGTAAAAGGCGACTGCTTGTGGTAAGAGGCGACTAACTGGATCGGGTGGTCAGTTTCGCTGACTTGGTTGATACATTGAATCATTCCAATTGCGTGGATCGATGCTCATGATATCCATCACTGGATTGTCTGGTCCAGACTCGATTATTTACATACCGCCGTCATATAACTGGAATATTGCTGAATGCGGCGTTAAACAACAAACCAACCAAGACCATGCCATGACACATGGGTGTGAAATAGTATACGTACGTTGTATTGTGGTAAATGTTTATCTGATACATAAAATTATTCATACAAATGTTTATGTTTGTAGATTTACGAGTTTCCATCAGAAGATTCAGTTCATGTGGTAAGTATAACAATTTGCATAGCCCTGCAGGGTAGTTGGTTACCCCCATTCTTGCAACTTATGACTTATAGACATTATTAAGTGTATGATTAACACATCGTGTGGAGAAATTTCATATTTTAAAATATATATATTGTCATCTCATTCGATAAATAACGAAAATCTACACATAAAAGTGTATCTGTTTCGCAGACTGACGATGACCTAGATGAAGGAGCGTCCGGGGAAGACATAATGATGGGAGCAAGCAGAGATGAGGTCCTTAGATTATATACAGAGTATGCCTCTATGGCATAGATAAATTACATGCGTAAACGTTTTCCTAATAATACCGTCTGGTATCTTAAGTATTCAAATATTTTACTTATTTTTTTTACAGGGAGTGGTGACGCAACAGCATCAACAGGTAATTTGACATCTCTACTTACTACAGTTATCCTGGTTCCATTCCGACACGATAGAGCAAACCATCACCACACCACAAATCACTGATCCAATAGTTCGTATTTTTCCCAATTCAAATAAAACAGATATTTAATATATTTATGTTTAATTTTGACTCTTTTCTCTTTAAGGTTCAGCGGTTTATTGAGAACCAACGAGAAAGGGAAGAAGCTGATGCAGTGAGTCTTTGCTTTCCGACTTGTAAAGAATGACTGTCACACTCATACAAATTATTTATACACACTATTTATACATTCTTAAATGCCCCAAGCAATATGATTGGTTGGTTTGTTGTTTAACGCCGCACTCAGCAATATTCCAGCTATATGACGGCGGTCTGTAAATAATCGAGTCTGGATCGGACAATCCAGTGATTGATATCATGAGCATCGATCCACGCAATTGGGATTGATGACATGCATCAACCAAGTCAGCGAGCCTGACCACCCGATCCCGTTAGTCGCCTTTTACGACAAGCATAGTCGCCTTTTACGGCAAGCATGGGTTGCTGAAGACATGTTCTACCCCGGAATCTTCACGGGTCCCAAGCAATATGATGAGAGGAATGCTGTAGGAATACCTGCTCTACATACATTATTATAACATTTGGTCTCGTTTCAGACCGTGGGGAAGATGATGGAGGGCAAAGACCAGGAAACAGGAATGTGGTAAGAATCTCATGTCACCGAGTTCTATCTTGGCTTGTATATAACAGATTGAAACTTAATCGAAGCTGAACCTGTTCACCTTGCAGGGCGTATACATTATCTACATTTGCAACAAGGTCAATTGTCAGTTTGTTCATTGTTACATACAGGAAGATACCACTTCACTTAGTCAATGTATTTACTTGACATCAAGAATTCGTACTGTTTGGCAATAGAAAAGAAATATTGGGCAAAAAAGTGATGTGGCTCTTTGTTGTGATATAACCTGAATGTATTTCCCATGTTGTATTCTTACACAGGTTCAAAGTAAAGATCATAGACAGGAAAAAAGCCCTAGTTAAAGTCCACTGGATGAAATACTCAATAGACTGATTCTTGGTTAGAACAGAAACTACTCAGACCCCTCAAGCCAAAGGTTAGTATGATCACGTGGAAATAAAATCAACACGATATCAAAATCTGGCCTAGTCTTGGGCATTTTATAATTCAGGAACTTTTACATGCATTTACCACACAATAAATACAATATTATACCATTTGAACATTTCCCTTCATCTGATGCCATTTTAAAAATGTCCTTTCCCAATTTGTAGCCTGTGCCAATGAATTATACACAGCGACCGAGTATTTATATGCAGTGATGTAATAATAGTTGAACCCCACTCGAAGTAGCACACATGCAATATTAAATAAATCTACATTCCTGTTTTCAGAAGGAGACCTGGTCGCATCCCGGTATAACATCCTACAAGACAGCGTATCCAGCCACAGTTGAAGCCGTTGATGGGCGTACGTCATTGGCATTATTGAGTGAGTGAGTTGGGTTTAACGCCGCTTTTAACAGTATTCCAGTTATATCGCGGCGTGTCAGCTTAATGTGGGAGGAAAGCCCGAAGTGATGCAGGTCTAAGACGTTTACCACTTCGGTGAAACCCACGAGCACGGGTATGGTGCTGACAAACCTAGAAACTTAATCGGGGGGAACCGGGATTCGAAAACACATAGGTTTCTTGCGTGCCCAAGGGACGCAACTCTGCACAGCGAATCGCGGCGCCTTAGACGACTTGGCCACCCGTGCCCCCTTGGCATTATTGAACATTTATAACATCGTTCATGTATGGCATATCGTTCATGTACTAATTCACTTACATTACTTACCTTATTTATTTATATATTGTTACAGACAATGTGTTCGTGCGCGATGAAGATGACTTGGAAAAGAGAATACACCAAAGATATGTCAAAGCAAGAGACAACAGCCGGACCTAGCTCCATAGCGGAGATATGATGCCATACATGTATATACATTGTAAAATAAATTAATATAAGTATTGACTGTATTTGACGATATTCGTGTGTATCAGTGTGGGATTTTGATTGAGTGTTTATACAATGTGCATATATAGGTATACATTGCCATGTAAATAAATAGTACTCCATTATCAATTTGCTTTTGTCATGTTGCGTGGACTATTTTTCGAAGGAGATGTGTAGTCAAAATGTGTGTGTGGTCCCTTGGCTACCAAGTTTTAGATCAGCTATAAAATCGTTCAATTAAGTTAAAATGAGTTAAATTTTGTGTATGATACTTGATGGAATACAAGTTAAGTATTGGCGAAACAAAAACATGAGTTTTGAGTAAAGGAAAATATTCTCGCCCATGGGCGAGATGGTGTAAATATTGAGTTTTTGAACTTTTATTTTTTCTTTCTTAGTATGTTCCCATGAAAACAGCATGCTTATTTTTGTAAATACCTTTGACCGAGACTGGGAAGACTAGAGTTTCTGGACTTTGGGGTTTCCAGAATTAAAATGGGACGTGTTCTGTGTAATACCTGAAGTCCCGATGTGTCTTAAATAGCATCTGGAATATATATGACATGGGAAATATACGTGAACCATTACGCAACGAGTTAACAATTTCTTTAGTTATGCCCGTTTCGGCGTAGACTGAACCCAGTCGCAAAAACTGGGGGTACCAGTCGCTATTCGGCTCGTCCCGGAATAGCACGAGTTGGTCACGAGTGTTGGTATGCGAGTACCGTCCCGGTCTGTAACAGCGTGTAACATGTAACAATTATTTGGGCTGTGTATCAAGTCCATCTTTAAATGTACCCCGTCTGTGAGATCTTTGTTGCATGAACAGGTCTTCCATAGGTCGGCTGGGAACACATTTTTGCCGTCTCTTCACGAATGCTGGTTTCACCTGGAGAGAAATGATCAAAACAGTCGGCCTTATCTTCAATGAAACCATGTGCTGCCAAATTGTCTATTTGTGAGTGATTGCAACTCAGCAGAGTTTCGACCAACGCTCTGTGTGGTCATGTTCCCAGACTGAGATATCGGTTAATTCTAGCTGGTTGGACCCGTTTTGACCCTTACTTCCGAAATAGAGAATGTAGTGTATTTAGCACGGGCGCGCACACGTCTTTATGTCTAGTCGCTGTCCCACCACGTCGACTGCGAGGGTGGCGCGATACGATCGTCGACCGTCTTAAATTTGCACAAAATTCTAAAATAACATGCAGCGAGATCGATAATGCCGTTCATAGGGTTTTTAATATCAAATCTTAAGGATAAGAATTTATGGATGAACAACTTCTTTATTACCGTTATCAAGCAAGTGATTTACAGAGTGTGGTTGGCAAGTATATATACAAGTAGGAGGCAATTTGTACAGGCAAACATTGCCTCCTACTTGTATATATACTTGCCAACCAAACGGTGTTAGAACCTTCATCGACACGTCGCTCTTAATTGTTATAAAGAAGTTGTTCATCCATAAATTCTTATCCTTACTTAGTACTACAACTTCTAAATGCCTATGGGGCGGTCGGGTAGCCTAGTGGTTAAAGCGTTCGCTCGTCACGCCGAAGACCTGGGTTCGATTCCCGACATGGGTACAATGTGTGAAGCCCATTTCCGGTGTCCCCCGCCGTGATATTGCTGGAATATTGCTAAAAGCGGCGTAAAACCATACTCACTCACTCTAAATGCCTATCAAAGAAGTCAAATCTTATGGTTCTATCCAATTGGCTGGGACAGGTCACGGGACTATACTTGTGTGAATTGGTTATTGTGGAAACCATGCCTGGTAGTGAAAATAAATCCATCTCTCTTTGTAGGCGACCCGTATCCCCAGACAATGACAAATATGTAAATCTTTACTACGTACACTTTCTGTGCATGTACATTGAACTACCGGTAACGACATCGCCGACTTCACCCGCAGCAGCCTTGGCACCTTCACTCAGTAATATTTTTCCTGATGATTTGAGCAAGGGCATCAGTATTTAACCTATAGAGCCTAGAACATTCCCAGACCAGCACCCCCAGCCGTGATGCCTACACAATATCCCGTTGCAATGAAAAGAAGCCGTGTTTAAACACCAATTGCAATACACCTAATGCTGCACGCAAATGCCGGCCTGGCCTTGCAAATGTGGTAAATAAAATGCGATGTGTTAGCACCTACCGTTGCTTCTTTTCCTCATCCCTGATGGAGCAGTGTTGTAGAAGTTGAAAATCTGGCTCCATCTTCAATAAGGCGATGTTACATTCATTTAGCTTAAAGTACAGTTCTCTGAAAAGCGCCCAGTTAATGCACAGCATATGGGTGTTGCTCAGGAAGGCGATTGCTGCAGCTTACATACTTGTTCACTGTTCGGTTGCAACCGGTCGGCATTTGCACATAAGCTGGAATCGATTCACAAAGATTATTTAGATGTGCATGTATGCATTTTAAGTAGATTAACGCAGTGTGGTTGCATTGTTTTATTTGTTATTCTGACATATTGGCGTAATGGTACATAATAGCGCTGAAAGATGTAGCGAGTGAATTGGGTTTAACGCCGCTTTTAACAGAATTCCAGTTTCATCACGGGGTGTCAGCTTAATGTGGGAGGAAAGCCCGAAGTGATGCAGGTCTAAGACGTTTACCACTTCGGTGAAACCCACGGGTACGGTGCTGACAAACCAAGAAACATCGGGGTGAACCGGGATTCGAACCCACAATCATGGGTTTCTGGCGTGCCCAAGGGACGCAACTCTTCACAGCGTATCGCGGCGGCATAGACGATTGGGCCACCCGCTAAATAGATGTATGTGTACCAAGCTGATTAGGTGATGCCGCTGATGCAGTACCATTATTTTCCCTAGTTAAACCGTGTGACACTCGCCAGGTGAGGTAGTGAAATATGGCAGCTAATTAAATTACTCCGTGAGAGGAAGGTATAGGAGTAACGGCCTATTGAGCACAATGGGGGTGGGGGTGGACTGAAATGTGGGATGAAAGAAGGGATGGTGTGTTGACCTGCACGGTTAAACTGTCCGAGACCCCATGGACAGTATGGGGTAGAGGGTATAGGTTAGTAAACAATGATTGGAGAATATCAATGTGCTACTAACTGTTAACGGATGCTCGAACAAAACCGCTGATGCATGTATGTGTATAGGTATATACCAATTTGTCAGTGGGTCGTAAACTGTTGTAATCAGGCGTGGATGAATGGTGTTACTGAAGTGGGGTGGGACGTTTCAGCTTAGTGGGGATTAAAAGACACTTAAATCAGCATGTGGTGGTTTTAATGTCACTTTAATGAGGTAGATTTAGTGTCGATGGGAAACGTGATAGTTCCGCCAAGTAGAAATACAACTACTAACCTTACATAAGGATGCATACGGGTCCTTGAGCTCGGTCTGCTCCAAGTTTGATATAGTGACACACGTGTGTACTTGGGGAAGGGTTGCTCGCGAATGACCGACTAACAAAGACGGGGATGATGCTTGCGCGGGATTATTCCCCGGGCACGGTGCCGAGTGGTGGCCCGGGGTGATTGGGTTACGAGGGGTGGTTGGGTTACAGACGTAATTAGCCCATGGTTTGGATACGCGCGATAAAGTCATTTAGTCGTTAGTACTAAATGTAATTATCCCGCGATATGCCAAGGAGAGGCACGGGCCACCGAGCCGTGGGTGCCCGTGCCTATAATAAAAACAGAAGATGAGGTTGGGTTAAATGGCCGAGGGTGTGCAGGTACTAGTGGGCTACTTAGCTGCTAATTGTGTATACCAAAATGCTACCGTTGCCATGGCCACGCGCGTGGCCGACGGCGATTGCAGCTAGCGCTGCTGGCCTGGGACTGCTACCGCTGTCCAGCCCCCACGGTAGCATATTTAAACGCTACCATTGCTTGGCAACTCCCACGCTGCCAAAAGCAGCTCCACGCTGCTGGCCTAAGTCAGACTGCCGCTGCCCGGCCCCAGGTAGCCGGCCAAAGCAGATCACACTGCCCGGCCCCATTAGCAAAACCATTGTGCGGCCCCCGCGGCGGACCCAACTGTCAGCTACCGCTTGACAAGACGACTTCCGCCGCCGGGCCCATATACGTGGCAATTGTTTGCCCCAACGTATGTTATTTTACGATTCCCCGGCTGAAAAGTCGGGAAAGACAAGGTACCCACTGAGAAGCAGGTAACCCCGGAAAGGTTCCCGCTGAAAAGCAGGTAGCCTTAAGCATTAAGTATTAATTTGGAAGCAAGTTAATTTGTTACTAGCAGTGTAGCCCACAAGAACCCCGCCACAAAGCACCAGAGTGCTACCCCACACCCACGGCCACGCGATACGCGGAGATAGCATTGTTGCCCGGCTTGCCTATGTACTGAAAGGAAACACTAACCTGTGGAGATAATATCCTTACTGGCGCAAAGCGAGCGCCAGGGCATGCAATAAATTGTCCGTAAACACACACAGTCCTTTGTCGCTGAGGTGGACGCCCTCCCAGGCGTACCATGTCTTGTCTGATGCCAGGATCTGGGGATGTGGCACCATTGTACCGCCGAGCTCTTTGACTCGGTTGGCCAGTCGGCGGTTGATATTCTTCCGCATCCCCTCGATCTTTAGTGGGTCCCTGGCATCGTGCCAGTAGCGCCTGGGCAGCATTGAGGATACGATGATCCTGGTGTCAGGAAGCTGGAGTTGTATCCGAAGGATTGATGCCACCATGTCAAGGTAGAGTTGGCTGCCCTTGACCGAGCACAGGTCGTTGGAGCTCAGGTGAATGATGAGGGCTCTGGGGCTGCGCCGTGTCGCCTTGACCTGTGCATCCAGAATGGTGTCCAGCTCCTTCCACCTCGTGCCAGCCATAGCATCCTCGGTTGGTTCGGACTGGTGCCCTACAGGAGCAAGTACTGCCGTGCCCTGGCCATGTAGCTGGATCCCACCATCCAAACTGTAAACAATAAGAAGTGTAGTAAGTACCATGAAAGACTATTTGAATTAGTTGTGCACCATTGAATTTGTTGGTAGGCGTATGTAAGCATTGTAGCAATTTGATTTCCACCTGCCGTATTGTTGTATGAGGTGTTCGGGCACCCTGTTCATGGCTGCTGATGTGGCTGCCCCAATGCGGAAGGATTGCGAAGAATAGCAGGCCGTGTTTATGTTGCTGTGTGCTAAGGCCTTTTTTAGGAGTGCCTGGAATTGGTACCTTGTAACGGGGGAATGGTCAAAGTGGATGAATGCATGTTGTGGGCCGGAGGGGCGCGCCTCCAGGTAGTGCTTGATGGCGACTACCGGACATAGCGGGTTACCTGGTATAGGTGACATTGTAACTGTTGTCCCCATCCTGTACTGATCGGACTTTCACAGGTTAAATAATATTATTTATTTATTGGTATTTAGGCAAGAGAAACCCTGTGCAAGTATTCCTTCAGCTTTTGACCTGGTTTCATGAATGATCCTAAGCTGTATAGACCTGCTTTTACTACCCATAGTGAGTGAGTGAGTAAAATTTTAAGTCACATCGGCAGTATTTCAGCCATAACGTGACTATCAAAAGTTAAATATAATACATACATTGAAACTTGTATAAAAACCTGCCAACGAGGGACAGTAAAATAACTAGACTTATCACAGAAATAAATTTAAAACTAGTATGTAATCATAAAATCAATAGCACTATACATAACATTATATTATAAAAACAGGCTATAGATCGCCAGCAACAGAAGGTAGACCACCATACTGGGGACCAAGGGGACTTACAGTACCTTTGCTACCTGCATGGACCCCAGCAGGATTTACATCATCCCTTCAGCAACTGGCGACTGTTTGCAAAGTTAGCCACAAGTAAAAATACAAATATTCTACGTTTAAAAGAGTAGTAGGCAGAAATATTCTTTGAATGACATGGACTTACGATATCCTCTCAGGGGGACAATAATTTTACACTACGTCAACCCCCTTTGAGGATACGGCCAGTAACAAACTCAGATATAATTTCATTTTACCAATTTTAAAAAGTCATTCCTTTTATACAATACATATTATCAAAATTTATTGAACAATTCTATCTCTTTTAAAAACCCAATAACTAAATGAGAAGGAATATTATAAAAAAGATCCTTGAGAGATGATGATTTGAAATACTTATCCCTTGTGATGGAAAAATCAATACAGTCAAGCAGGACATGCTTGACCGTGATTCTCTCATCACAAGGGATACAAAAGGGAGGATCTTCACCTTTCAACAAATATTCGTGAGTATATCTACTGTGGCCAATACGACATCGTCGTAAAATGACCTCGTCAAATCTGGACTGACAACCCAAGTAGGTGTAACCGATATTTGGTTTAATTTCATGTAATTTATTGATACCTACTTGGGCGTCCCACTTCTGTTGCATAAGATCTCGGATGTAAGATCGAATCATGGGTTTAAAATCAGTGTATGGGATCAGAAGTGGTGTCACAGATTTGTTGAGGGCTGCTTTTGCAGCAGCATCGGCCATTGTGTTACCTTTGATACCAACATGGCTTGGTAACCAACAAAAGACGATGTCATATTGGCCAGTAGCAAGATCATTAAATAACTCAAGAATTTGGATTAAAAGTGGATGTTTTGAAGACATATTTTTAATTGCCTGAAGACATGAAAGAGAATCTGAAAACAGTATGAATTGTTTATGTTTAGATTGATTACTGATATATTTAAGTGCTGTAAAAATGGCGTTTGCTTCTGCAGTGAACATTGAACTGTTATCAGGTAAACGGGAAGAGATTGTTCTGGATCCAATGACAGTGGCACTAGCAACTGTGCCACCATCCTTGGATCCATCGGTAAATATAGATTTATAAGTGTCATAATTGTTTCTAAGTTGGTGGTATTCTTGTTGGTATATTAATTGGTTAGTATCTGATTTCTTTAGTTTTGTTAATGTCAGATCTACCTCAGGCTTTACCATTTGCCAAGGAGGAGAGGAGAAAAGTTGAGTAGGAGCTATATCTTGGAGTTTAATATTTGAAGCTGATATTGCAGATTTTATTCTAATTCCGAGTGGTGGAGGGAGTGCCGATTTCTTATTGTAAAGATCTTCGTAGAGAGGATGGAATATACATTCAAAAGCTGGATTTGACGGATTAGAATATAATTTAGTGATGTATTGTAGAGATAATTTTAGTCGGCGTTGTTTAAGAGAAGGCTCATCTGCTTCTATATAGAGACTGTGAATGGGAGACGTTCTGAAGGCTCCAAGACAAAGCCTCAGACCCTGATGATGTATCGTATCTAGTTTTTGTAAATTACTTTTGCAGGCTCCACCATAGATGATGGAGCCATAATCAAGTTTGGAACGAATTAGTGACCTGTACAAGTGTAAGAGGGTTGTTTGATCCCCTCCCCACTTTGAATTAGAAACAACTTTTAATAGATCGAGTGCCTTCAGGCATTTAGCTTTGAGGTATTTAATATGCGGGAGAAAAGTTAAGTGATGATCAAAAATAAGTCCCAAGAACTTGGCTTCCTTAACAACTTTGATAGGAGTGCCATTCAGAAATAGTTCAGGGTCCTTGTGCGGTTTATATTTTCGGCAGAAATGTATGCAATTAGTTTTTGATTTAGAAAATTTAAACCCGTTTTCTAGACACCACTTGTTAATTTTATTAAGACATAATTGTAATTACCTTTCAATTGTGTGCATATTTTTACCCCGACAAGATAGATTAAAATCATCCACAAAAAGTGATCCATCAACTGAATCATTTAAAACTTTTGACAAACTGTTAATTTTTATACTGAATAAAGTGACAGACAAAATGCTGCCTTGTGGGACACCCTGATCCTGATTATAATGATCAGACAGGGTAGAACCCACGCGGACTTGAAATTGCCTGTCTGTTAAAAACTGTGATATAAAATGAGGCAGACGGCCTCTTAATCCAAAATCATGAAGATCTTTTAAAATACCATGTTTCCATGTTGTATCGTAAGCTTTTTCTAAATCGAAAAAGATCGATACAGCATGTTGTCTATTTACAATGGAATTTTTAATGAACGATTCTAAACGCACTAAATGATCGATAGTACTTCTGTTCTTCCGGAAACCACACTGTATATTGGTAAGAAGATTATTTGTTTCCAAGTACCACACTAATCGATTATTTACCATGCGTTCCATCGTTTTACAAACACAGCTAGTTAGTGAGATAGGTCTGTAATTTGATGGATCAGAATGATCCCGCCCAGGTTTGGGTATAGGTATAACAATGGCATTATGCCATGAAGGTGGAAACGTCCCAGATGTCCAAATATCATCGAATATATTTAACATAGTTTCAAGGCATGATTCGGGCAAGTGTTTCAGCAGCTGATAATGAATATTATCAGCGCCTGCTGCTGTATCATGAGCTTGCCCTAAGGCAGTATATAGCTCATGTAGTGAAAATACCTCATTGTAATCTTCACCATTATCAGATGTAAAATTTACTTTTTCTGTTGAAGCTGATATTTTTTAAATTCAGGAGCGTAATTAGATGAAGAAGAATGATGAGATAAAGTTTCACCAATGCTATTGGCAATGGCAGATTTATCAGTTAACAAAGTATCGCCATCCTTCAGATGGTGAACTGTAGAATTTGATCCCTTGCCTTTGATCTTTTTAATCATGTTCCATACCTTGGACATAGGGGTACGAGAGTTAATTTTGGAGACATAAGTCCGCCAGGATTGACGTTTATTTTGCTTAAATAGACGTCTTGCCTTGGCATTTGAAATTTTTACAATATTTAAATTATGGACAGTGGGATGTTTACGGAAGTACTTCTCCGCCTTCTTACGACATTTCCTAGCTTGTTTGCAAGTGTCATCAAACCACGGTTTACGAACACGTGGGTTGATCGAGGACTTAGGTATTGATTCATCAGCAATTTCATTCAGTAGATCTGAGAACAACTGAATCGGGTCAGTAACATTCTGAAAAGACGTAGGTAGTAATTTAT